ATCCTACCTTTCTTCTTGGAAGCCATGGGTTTAGTCTTTTGTATATGTTTGAGGGGGTAGGGGATGGGATGGAGGAAAGAAGGAAGAGAGAGAAGGGTACAGGGGCGGGGAGGAACAAAGGAAGGAAGGGAGGAAGGAAGAAGGAGAGAGGGAAGGAAGGAGGGAATGAAGGAAGGGAGGTGTGCTGGGAGGAAGGGAGGTGTGCTGGCTAGTTTTATGTCAACTTGACACAAACTAGAGTCATCAGAGAGGAGGCAACCTCAACTGAGATAATGCCTTCATAAGATCAGGCTGTAAGATGAATTCTTAATTAGTGATTGATGGGGGAGAGCCTGTAGAGCCCAGGGCAGGTTGGTACACATCCCTGGGCTGGTGGTCCTGGATTCTATAAGAAAACAGACAATGCAAGCCAGGGAAAGCAAGCCAGTAAGTGGCACCCCCCCTCCCCCATGACCTCAGCTTCAGCTCCTGCTTCCAAGCTCCTACTATGTTCTGTTCCTGACCTGACTCCCTTTGATGATGAACTGTGGTGTGGAAGTGTAAACCAAATAAACCTTTTCCTCCCCACCTTGATTTTTGGTCATGTGTTTCATCACAGCAATAGTAACCCTGACTAAGGCAGGAGGCAATGAACCTAACACCTGTTTCAAAGAGGTATAGTCTAGTTCCTATGGCTGCTATGTCATTATGTAGTCTGTATGCAGGTACAAAAGGTCCCTTTAAGGAACAAACTCTGGTTCCTATGGCTGCTACGTCATTACGTAGTCTGTATGCAGGTGCAAAAGGTCCCTTTAAGGAACAAACTCTGCCCATTCCTGCTCTCTTCCCATTGTTCTTCTGAAGAGGCAAGCAGCTCTCTCTCTCTCTCTCTCTCTCTCTCTCTCTCCTTTCACTCTTTCACTTAATAAGCTCACCTAAGCTCTATCTTTATGGTGTGTTTGTCTCTCACCCGCCATGGGCTCTCACCCACTGCCAGGGGAAGGGAGAGAGAAAGAGACAGACTGCGTCCTGATGCAGCAGCCAGAGGACCTTGGGCTGGCCAGGGTATGGCCTGAATGCATCCTGCCAGGTGATGGGCCAGAATAATAATACTTGAATCCCAATACTCAGGAGGCAGAGGTGGGTGGATCTCTGTGAGTTCAAGGTCAGCCTGGTCTACATAGTGAGTTCCAGGACAGGCTTCAAAGTTACACAGAGAAATCATGTCTAAAAACAAAAACAAAACCCCCACTTATCTGTCTCTGTTCTTTTCTGTTTTGCTTTGCTGTTTGGTTTCGTCACGTGTAGAGCACAGGGCCCCAGATAGAGGTTATAGATATATGGGTTTAATAATTCTCCAATCTCTAGTCCAAAGGTCCCAGACTGGAGGTCTGGGGAACAAATACAACTTGCAGGTAAAAGAGATTTTTAATTCAAATAATGTTGTCCTTTAAGCTTGATCACTAAGTCAACTTCTAGACCATTTAAAGATTTCTGAAGATCCTATCTCGTTTCCAGATTGCATCAGTAGGATGGGGCAAAAGAGTGACTTCTTCTAGCCACGGCCCATGGGCCCAGCTTTCCCTTTCTCCCCACCATTCCCCATGGCAGCCTTGCCACTGAGAACAATGCTAATTCCGGTTGTCTCTTCCTATGTCCTTAAATTGCCGGCTCCCCAAAAGTCATTTGAATGGATTATCTCTTGTTTTCGAAAGTACCTGATTACTAACCTAGCTAATGGGTCAAAACGTACCCATGTTTAGGTGGGATAGGGTTTACCCCAGAACTCTTTCTTGCCCCAAATTGTTCAGGCTCTTGGATTTTGGGGCCCAGGAGACTGATGGGCTTCTTGTCATGTTCAGGACTTGGCTTTGCGGGGTTCCAGGGTGTAGTTGAGCTTCCAGGTTGGTCTACGTCACTGGCTGGCGTCCTCAAGACTGTTACTCCAGGGGAAAGCCTGCAAGCCTTGCTGTGTTTCTTCATTCCTTGCCACTGGCTACCAGAGTCCTTATCTTACCCTGTCCTTATCTCTCATGTCTTGCATCATTTGTCTTTTTATCTCTTTCTTTTCTAATCCATCTGTTCTGCCGGAGCCCAAGTTAATCCTGTAACAGGGATGCCAAGCGGCCATCTTCTACTTACACACTTCTTAATGGCAGCTGCCTCCAGATTGATGGTGTCAGAGACGCTCAGATAGGCCTTTCCTCCACCCACATCTGTACCCTTTCTGGTGCTACCTTCTGCCTCAGAGCACACGAGTCCCTCTTCTCTCCTGGGTGCACCCAGTCCATTCAGCAAAGCGAACCGTACCTTTCATTACTTATACCTGGAACACACTCTTCAGGATTCACAGACCTTTGGCTTTCAAGGATCAGTACTCAAAACCAAAAAGCAGCAACAACAAAAAACCATGAGAAATGAAGGTAAGAAATTACCACGAGAGCCCAGAAAGGTGCTTGCTTCCCAGCCCGGTGACCTGATTTTAGTCCTTGGAACCCAGTTCTTCCTCCAGTCATGGTGGAAGAAGAGACCTTGTTCCCAAAAGTTGTCCTCTGAGCTCCGCATGCCCCCAACAAATAAATAGAAAAAATTAAAATTAATGTGGGAGATGAACGCTAATTTTATTGGGCCAAATATAAGACAATGCAAACTGTCTGCCATGCGTTCTGAACTTGATTTCACAAGAGAGAGAAGAAGCCGCACTATTACAGAAGCACAGAACACATTGCCCCAAATTCCTTTACAGCACCCGGATTTTAGCTGTTTCAGAGCTTGCTGTGTTGCCGCCTTCTTCCCCTTCCGCGCAGACCAGTGAGAACATAATCACCCCGTGTCTTCTGGGCTTGCCCTTGAGACCTATTAGCCTACCCAGCTCTTACTTCTTTCCTGAAAGTTCTGATCGTGCTTGAAGATCAAGCTTGATTGCTGTGTGTGTGTGTGTGTGTGTGTGTGTGTGTGTGTGAAGGGTGTCTCCAGTGATGGGGCCAGGTGGACGCTGATGTATTTGTCACCTGAACTAAATGTTTGCAGGCTTGCGCCCATCGCATTTGTGGCTTATTCCTATGTCCTGTTCAGGAGTTCCCTGGCTGTCAGTCCAGTTTGTTAGGCCAGAGAGGGTGCATCAGATGCCTTAAGACCACGGGTCGGTATTGACCATAGGACCTGACAACGCAATCGCTGTATTCTGGAGTTCCTAGAAGCTAGCGGCCTCTTAGTCTGCTTGTTATTGTTGGAGTCTCCTGTCAGCTACACAAGTTGAGAAAGTAGCAGCCCGGCTAAGGAGTGATGCAATTCCAGGAAGAAAACAGGCCTCTGTGCTCACCCTTCTTTTGCAAGTCCTCAGCACAGCTGGGCCCTGTGTTCTCTGTATTCAACCTGCTCTGGTTTGATTAGGGGATTGCTGCCTGAGCCCTGACTGCATCACAGTGGTGAAGCCTAAAGAAGTTGAGCACACATGCCAAATCTAGGTTTCTGTCTCCTTGACAGCTCCTTAGGGCCTTACTTACTTATGGAGAATGTCATAGATTGTGCAAAGAAACTGGTCTGCCCTCTATTTATTTAGGCTGAGAAACAGAGAATTCCTTCTCTCCCTCTCCCCTTCCCTTCCCTTCCCTTCCCTTCCCTTCCCTTCCCTTCCC